ATTTATTTATTTATTTATTTTTCATGTTTATACCCCGCCCTCCCCAGTGGGCTCAGGGCGGCTTACAGAGGCAAGGCAGAACCTTGCCAGAATAAAAACATAATATATTTAATAATTTAAAACATATAATACTTCTTAAAATCCTAAATTGTAAACAAAGTGCCCAGTGACTTCAATAATCCCGGAATGGAGGATCATATGTCCGAAGTTCCAAGATTTTCTTTCTGTCTCTCCCATTCTCTCCTCTCCTCGTGGTTCAAGGCAGCTGGCAGTAATAGTTAAAACATCCTCAGCTGAAATCAAAGATAAAATAGCAAGCCTAAAATCCCTCCCCTCTTGCCCCCCCCAAAAGATGCATGCCATTCAGACCGCCGTTAAAAGATGCCGCCTCAAAATCTCAAAGGAGGGGGCTCTCCTCAACTCTTGAGGGACCCATTCCACAGAGCCAGGGCCACAATGGGAAAGGCCTGGGCTCTGGTCAATGCCAGATGAGCCACCCTAAGTGGTGGGATAGCCGACAGATGACTGCCTGATGTTTGTCATCGGCGCACAGGGATATTAGCTTCATGTTAGATCTGATCACAATGTTCCCCATCAGCATTTGTTGTTTATATTAATATAGATAAATGCATGTATCTGTGTTCCCCATTAGGTTTTGTTCTTGATCTTTTCCTCTGTGTTGGTTGGTTGAAGACTGAAATATGTTGATTGAAGACTAAAATATGTTTCAAGGTCACAGGGAAAGCCAGTTTGATGTAGTGGTTAAGAGCGACAGAATCTAAACTGGGGAGCCAGCTGGGTGACCTTGGGTCAGTCACAGTTCTCTCAGAGCTGTTCTCTCAAGAGCAGTCCTCTCAGAGCTCTCTCCACCCCACCTAGCTCACAAAAGGTCTGTTGTGGGGAGAGGAAGGGAAGGAGATTGTAAGCCACGCTGAGTGAAGGGCAGGGTATAAATCCAACTCTTCTTCTTCCTTGGCCAAGTCATTTTGAGCTCATAGTAAAATGAGAACAATAATAAATTACTTTGCTGTATGAGCAATACCATGTAAATATTGTCCATTGATGTTTAAAACTTGTGCAGACAGTCCCTTTCATACAGGTTCTTTAAACCCGCTTTGGCTTTTGAAGGCTAACAGGGGTTTTTTTTTAATGGTTTCACGGACCTTGAGGATAAAACATTGTCTTCTTGCATTTAATGAAGATTTAACCCAGGTTTTCCAAAACCATTTTTGAATTCAGTTTTGTTGTTGTTGGGGTTTATCCTGTACATGTGTGTAAAAAAAAATCTGTTTGCCTTCAGAAGCTGAAGCAGTTTAAAGAGCATGAACGAAATAGACCAAAATCAGGTAAATATACGGTACAGTAGGAATCCAAGGAATGTGTGGGTCTGGCCCATTGCAGCCTCTAGTAAAATATGGGTTGCGATGTAGGATCCTAGAATGGCTTTTGAAACCCAAAGGCAAATATTTATAAGCAAGCAAGATTCTGTCCTGATTTCCTGTTTTTGTTAAACACACACACAATTTCAACACTGAGATTTACTTGTTGCGGAGACTAGAGCAACCAGTAACCAATGTGGTACTTTTGCAAAAAATGGATCAGCTCCTCCAGGAGCTAGACAAAGAAACTGCTAAACTCATCTTTACTTGTAACCTCAGCAGGATATATTCTTGCTTTCTTTTTTTCAGGCAGGTAGCTTAATTAAATCAAGGCATGGATACGTACAGTACAGCAGGTGAAACCTCCAGGAGCATAAACAGATCAATAAACCGATTTGTGTTTGCTGACCAGAAGAGATTTCTAATTACTAGTGCTCTGTACCTTCCCCGTTTGTGACGGGGCTAGATTAATTGGAAGGATAAGAAATCCAATTCCCTCTTGTGGGGGAGTTTGTTTCTGTTTAGCTCCACTTAGCTGGGCTGGTAATGCTGACTCGCCCATGGAGGCAGAACGTGGTAATTTATTTCCAGTTGTCTATTTTGGATCTTAGTTCCTTATGTGAGAGTGGAGCATGTTTAACGCTTTCTGTAGGAGTTACATTTAGAGTATAATATGAACTCGAACTAATTAATCCTTTTTTTAATCTTAAAACTTTGGGGGAGGGGGGCAACTGGCCCAGGTTTCCTGCCTACGTGTTGAATAAACCTTAGCATTTTGCCTTAAAAATAGGAATCTTTGATCAGTTTCGATGACACTTAACAATTCTGAATAGCAAATCTCTCTTTAGATTATTGATTTGCAGAGATTCCGAGTATTCACAGAATTGTGTGCGTCTGTATTATCCAAGACTGTTCTGCAGAGGAGAAAATAGCTGATCTGAGTCATAATCCAGCAAACTTCTTTAGAGTTGTGTAGAAGGGCTTGTTGTGCCTTTGACTCTTTCCTACCTAGCAGCATTAATTAATTTTAAAATGACTGCTTGTGATACAGCATTGTGGGGCTTCTATCCTCATTGGGCAAATTTAGTTTCTTACATTCTCTGAATTCTGACCCCCGACATGGCCAGTTTATATATATTCAAGATATTCAGTGATAATTTCTGGACTGTGTGTACCACTGGACTGTGCCCCATCTTAGCTTCTTACCGCATACAAATCTAGCATGCCAGGGAGAAGAATTTAACCTACTCTTCTTACAGGCACACTGTTTTTCTCTTTCTGGTATGATGTTTTGTTTGCTTCTGTATAGGTGTGAGAGAGCATTTACACTTGCAACAGCCCTGGCCCCGCCTGCAACCCAAGGTGGTACGACCCAAACTACGTTTTTACTAGTTGATTCTGGTAAACCTGTCAGCTGGTCTTCAGCAAGACCCCAGGACTTAATTAAAAAAAAACAAACCAATACGGATTTGGAAGGCCTATCATGGTGGACTTGGGTTGATGGATTAATAATGGGTTGATGGATTAATTGACAGCTACTTTATAAAGTTGTATAAATCATCAGTTAGCAAGTACCTTCTGGGTCTACAATAAGGGGCAAGGTGACAGAAGATCTATGTCTTCTACATGACAGGGCAGTTTTGTTTGCATTTGGGCACTTTAAAACATTCACCCTGCTGAGCAATGACTGAGGACTCAACTAGAGGATATGTCTGATCTGAGTTCGGCTGCTGGGAGGGCACCCTCTTTGCCCCATGTGTTCTGACTGCAGAGTGTGGTGCTTAAGGGCAGGGCAAACAGCCTTCTCTGTGGCCATTTCAGCTTGGGAAATGGTGAGAAGGTGGAAGCCCCTCCTCCCCCCACGCTCATGAGCTAAGTCTTGCAGTGCTTGGAAATGTAAGGTCCCCAATGTTACACGTACACCGGTTGAGTCAGGGCGACCCAACCTTACTCGCATCTAATGTATCGTCTAGCTGAACCTTCAGCCCTATGGCCTGTCTGAAAGGGGCTTTAAAAACCTCAGCTGAGCATGCTTTGAATGCAACCTGCCTTTAAACTTGACAAAAGTGCAGGTGTCTCGAAATGATTTTAAGGTGGTGTGAGCACGGATCCTTTAGAAATCCCCACTTTTCCGATTGTGCCTGAGGGATAAGAGCACTCCGAAAGATGGCTCTTGGTTTAATTGGATCTCTGGAACTGGCACCGGTTGCAACTAAACACCATGAAATCTTTTAATCTGTCTTAAGAATGATATGGAGACTGATGGTTAACACTGCAAAGTAGCTGTGGAATATAGACTTTCAGGCTCTCAGATATGAGTGCTGTATAAGGTGGTTCCTCCCACTGGTTCTTGGAGCATGGCTGCTTTTTAATCCTGTTTTGCCCCAGTGTGATACTTCACTGCTTTCCTGAACAGTCTTTTGGCATACTTTAGGGGCCAATCCATGTACTCTTGGCAGAAGTGTGATGGGCAGTTCCCCGTGTCTCTCTCTGGAACTTTTTTGGATACAGGAGTCATGTTGAAGGTGTTAATTGTGTAGTGCCTTTTCACCCAGCCATTGCCTGGCTGAAGAAGGCAATGTTCTGGTGGAAAAGAACCATCTAGAACCTCTCTGGGGCAAGTGATGCTCTCTGGGGCAAGTGATGCTCTGTCATCTTGGTGCTTGGGTGGACCTCAGGATGGCACTGGTATTTCTGGCCACTGTGTGATACAGAGTGTTGGACTGGATGGGCCTTTGGCCTGATCCAACATTGGCATCTCTTATGTTCTTAGAACAGGGGTGTCAAGCATAAGGCCCGTCCAGGGCTCTTATACAGCCCACAAGCAACTGGTATGGATGTAAGTGTGAAGTACTCCCCCTCCCCCTTTTATGGTATCCCTGGGAAAAACCTAGTCTATACGGTTAAATAATTTATTGGGGCTTTTGTGGGTTCCCCAGTAAATCAGTTGCTTTCACTGCTAGGAATCAACTGATTTTGTTTGCATTTTGAGTAAAAAGTAATATTGTTATTTGGGCTTGCCTGTGTCCTTTATAAAGTTTGTATCTCCAGTACCTGGTGTCACATTTTATGGTACACATGGCCTGGCCCGATAAAGTGACATTTATGTCAGATCCGGCCCTCATAACAAATGAGTTTATCACCTCTGATCTAGAACCTCACCTGTGTGATTCCTGTGTCCCAGTAATCCTGCAGCGCTAGTGGCAGATGTGATCGTCAGGAAGTCCTCCAGGCACATTGCCAAACAAGTGTGAATTGGGCCTCAGCAGGGTTCCATTTGGAGACATGATAGTCCATGTGCTACCCCTGACAATTGTAGCTTTGTCTGGGAGGAATTGGGTAGGGAAATCCAGTGTCCTCCTGCCAAAAATACATGTTGAATTTGAGCAGGTTTTCTATGGCTTCTTTCCATGCTCCTCCAGAAAGGTCGGAATGAAGGAATGTCATGGGCAGGAATAGAGCTTTGGTGGAGTCCTTCCCATATTCCCTGAGCAAGCTCTGAGGAAATACTTATGCGCTTGAAACAAACAGCTTTGCTCACTCTTCCGGTCATGCCTTTATTAGCTCTTCAAAATATGTGATTAAACCTTTTCCCCTTACCTGTGTCTCTTGAATTTTCAGCCATGGCCCAGCGTGTCCAATCTGGCCAAGGATTTCATTGACCGTCTGCTGACAGTGGATCCTGCCGACCGGATGACGGCTCTGCAAGCCTTAAAGCACCCCTGGGTGGTCAGCATGGCCGCTTCGTCTTCCATGAAGAACCTGCACCGCTCCATCTCTCAGAACCTCCTCAAGAGGGCGTCATCTCGTTGCCAAAGCACCAAATCGGCCCAGTCCACCCGCTCCAGCCGTTCCACCAAATCCAACAAGTCCCGGCGTGTGCGGGAACGGGAGCTGCGGGAGCTGAACTTGCGCTACCAGCAGCAGTACAACGGCTGACCGCTCCCCAGGAGGCTGCAGGGACTCGTTTGTTCTTCCCATCGGGATGTGTCATGGGCTGCATCTGTTAGGCAAGAGAAGCCCAGGCCGTGGCTGCCTTCTTCCCTCTCTCAAAGAGCAGCCTCCGCGTCCACGCTCCCTCCTCAAAGGAGGTGGGACTTTCTGGACACTGCAGTATCCTCACTGCTGCCAGGGCGAAGTCCACCTCTGCTGGGTAGTGTCAGCCACAGAGTCTTTCCCCCCAGATGGGACAAGAGGAAATGCCCGCTTCTTGGAAAGGCCTTGGAAGAAGGCCAGAGTTCATTGCCAGAAATCCTGGAGCCACACGAAGAGGAGAGAGCCCTTCCTCAACCAAGGATTCTTGCTGCTTCTAACTATTTATTGATTCCAAGTGATTAAAAACCCACCTGTGGGGGTCTGGTGGATGGCTGGCTTAGGGTCTCGACTCAAGTCAGAGTCCAAAGAGTTCCCTGCATCGGGGGGTTCAAGGTTGTTTCTCTGTGCGCTCAGAGGTTGCCCATTTGGTTTCCTTCTAGCTACAGCCACTTGCACTGCGTAGAAACACATTCCAGAAGTTGCCATAACATCAGAAGTGTGGGACGGGGAAGTGCACAGGTCTGTGGTTGGGATGGAGTTTGGGGGTACACACTTGAAACCACTTGTGCCACCGGTCTTTCAGTCTTGGCCCGTGTTTCTAAACGTCATGGTTTCAGTTTTCCTTTGCTCTTGTACCAAATCTCTGCTTTCCATCCACCTAACAGTAAGATGGGGGCCGCCTTCCTTTTGAGATTGGCTGCGGAAGGTCAAAAATGCTGCTGCTCTGTTTACTCTGGCACATTGCAGGCCAGAGAAATGGACGTCCTTTAACCACAC